GTGAGTCGTTAATTTTCCACATTTTTCAATGCAATTCGCATACTTTTTTTATTTTAAAACTGTATTTTTTTGCATCTATTTTCGGTGAGATAGATAGCATAAATAGCAACAATGTTATTCAAATTGTTTATAAGCGAAAAACGCACGGTTTTTTAATGCACAATTTGAGAATGTTAATGTCAAAAAACGGTGATATTTTTTAATAGGTCGTTTAATTACGTCTCTAAGATTACAATGACGCATTCAGAATCATGTTTGGTTGAAAATTAACGCCTGTACAGAGGCTTAAAAAGTTCATAACTTTTGGAGCCTCCGTTATAAACAATCTGAATTGTGCGAAAACTATTGCACCTACAGCGTCCACTTTTTGCACACTTTTAAAGTATGACAAAACCCTCAACTTGTCATAGGTTTTATAAAATTTTAACAATAAAGGCGATAGTTATAAACAAATTAAAAAATGGGCACTTTTCTTGTTTTGTTGCAATAACTTTTTTGTTTATTAACCGATTTTAATTTAACAAGTCTCATTTTGCACATAATTTTACTCCCTATAAGCTGTCTGCGAGTCACTTTTCGCTAAAATTGATGGTGTTCCCTGCAAAGTGAGAAAACTGTTTTCCTCACTTATTTGTTTAAAAGTTAGGTAATAAATTTTTTTGTCTCACGAGATGAAAGATGTCTTCCTTTGGAGAATTTTACAATAATATCGCGGATAGGAATTTTTTCGAGTTTCTCTTTTATTTTCGCTAATTTTCCTGGTGTAATAAGGTAAAAATATTTGGAATTCTTGATGACAATGGGTTGCCTATTATTTAGCGTTTGTGATGTCACTACTAAAATGCTCTATTTACCAGGAAAAACAAATGTATGCTGCTGTCAATAATTTAACAGTACCTAATAGTGAATGATAAATTATGTCGAGTAGGATAATTTTATACATGTAGCTATTTTGCAAGGAACATTTTCTATAGATAGCATTCCAATAGGTTAACTAGTACATTTATGGTTTTTAAATAATATGAACAATCTGTGATGGCGATATCATTTGGACATAGGCTAAATATTTTTTATATAGGTACCTAACAAAAATTTAAATTGTCAAAATTTTGAATGCAACCATAGCAAGACAATTATTGATTGGAGGATTCGTTAACTAAAAATTTTAGACTCATTTGTTTTATATCTCACAGATTTTTTTCTTTAGAAAATGTATTAATTTTGGAAATTTGCTAATATCAATGTCCTTCTATGTATTGACAGTACTTTGAGCATGAAGTACAAATTCCAAACACTTGATGACTTAAGCATGCTTGATTTATCAATTAAATAAGCTAACACAACACGTTTATTTATTACCATTTTTCTTTTCGCAACATTCTTGTAAAAATCCACGTATTTTTTTCGTACCTATCCTCTTGTCTTCTTCGTGACACGCAACGTTATCCGTCTTTAAACGACTTATAAAAACTTCTGTTGCCAGACAACTGTGATACTTACAATCTACTTTGCTTTTAACGCAAGTTTTGACGCAAGAGCTCGGTTACTGATTTGACAATCATCGATGGAAAACAAAAAGCACAGATGCTTTCGTATAAATGTTTTTATATAAATATTTGTAAACTATTTTCAAACAGTTTTTCTGTAGTTCTTTTTATACATGATATTTGCTGGGGAAAAACATGTAAATCAGTAAATCTATACTATATTTTATGGTAAATAGTAACAAAAGCACTCTTTGTGACTAATTAACATTTGTGTGAAATCACGGGCGGCATATTATAATCCTAAAGTCAGAAACACAAATACTATTTCAGAAAGTTCTCACAAACGTGACTGTTTATTTTCAGAACATACAAAAAGCAACTAACGTCAAACCAGAACTGCAGCATGTCAGTCGAGACAAGAGGGCTCAAATTCTTGGTCTGGGCCCCCACAAAAACTTCCGGGGGTGCACCATTTGGTTCACGGGCTTGTCCGGTGCTGGAAAAACCACCGTGTCTTTCAATGTGGAGGAGTATCTGGTCAGCCACGGCATACCAGCCTACAGGTGAGAAGATTTTTTAAATCTGCTGTATTTTCGCATTATGAAGTGTTACATTCTTGCACAGATTCACTAATCATGAGATTAAAATGTGAATGTGAAAAAGAAATAGATGCAAAGAATTTCAATTGCAGCTTAGATGGGGACAACATGCGCCACGGCCTGAACAAGAACCTGGGGTTTTCCCCGGAAGACCGCGAGGAAAACATCAGGAGGGTGGCCGAGGTGGCCAAACTCTTCGCCGACGCCGGACACGTCTGCCTCTGCAGCTTCGTGTCCCCTTTCGTGGCCGACCGCAAGGTGGCCAGGGGCATTCACGAGAGCAGCGGTTTACCTTTCTACGAGGTGTTCGTGGACACCCCCTTGGAGGTGTGCGAGAAGAGGGACAACAAGGGTCTTTACCAGAAGGCCAGGCAGGGGTTGATCAAAGGGTTCACCGGGATCGACCAGGAGTACCAGAAGCCCGAGCATCCCGAGCTGGTGCTGAAGGCAGCCAATATGAGCGTTGAGGAGGCCACTAGGTTGGTGCTGGAGATGCTTGGAGAAAATGTAAGTAAAATAATGTACAGAGTGATTCACTATATTTTGACCCCCTCTTTAACTTTTTGTTTTAAGAGTTATAAAAAAATGTGAAATACAAAAGTTGCTTGAGTTTTTATGAAGTTTTCGAAAATGATAATAGAAAAACAAATGAAGTCCAAACAAAATAGCCGCGGATGTTAACTTTGTTAAGTTAAATGAAACACCCTATATATTTTTACATATTAGGATAGAACGTGCATAACTCGAGCATAGTAATATAGGGTTTGTTGGATCCATCTCTAACAATTAGCAAGATACTAAAAAACCAAGAGAAGGTTTTTTATTAAGAAAATAAGGCATCTTATAATTGTTAAACCTCTTTCAGGCATTTCTGCCTTTTTTCCAAATACGTAAGGATTCACAGATTTAGTTATACCTAATATATTTTGATATATCGGACATTGATACGGTCCAAAATGCTTATAGGTAATGTAACGAAATCTCTCTAATTACGCCGTGAGAGGCCTAATTACACATAGACATTATGGTAGGTCGTGACATTGACAGGTAGTAATGTCTTGACAACATTGTTATTGAGTGACAGTTTGTATTATTATTTAATTAAAATAGGTTACACAGAAGTAGAAAATGATTTCGAATTAAAATACAGTATGGAGAAGAACTTTGCTCTCTTTTCATTCCTATATTTCAGTTTTCTACTTCTGTGTAACCCATTTTAATTAAATAATAATACAAACTGTCAAACAATAACAATGTTGTCATGACATTACCTGTCACTGTCACAGCCTACCATATAACATTGTCCATAAGTAATTAGGCCTCTCACGGCCTAATTAGTGAGATTTAGTTAAAATACCTATACGCATTTTGGATCATATCAACGTCCGATCTGTCAAAATATAATAAAACTACATCTGTAAATCCTTACATAATTTGAAAAAGGCAGAAATGTCTGAAAGAGGTTTAACAATTACAAGATGTCTTATTTTCTTAATAAAAAACCTTCTTTTCGTTTTTTAATAGTATCTGCCTTATTGTTAGAGATTAACCCAACAAACCCTACATGACTATGCTCTACAGGGAACGTTCTATCCAAATATGTAAAAATAATAAAATAAAATATAAAGGGTGTTCCATTTAACTTAACAATGTTAACATCCGCGGCCATTTTGTTTGGACTTCATTTGATTTTCTACTATCATTTTCGAAAAATTCATAAAAAATCGTGCAACTTTTATATTTCACATTTTTTTATAACTGAATCACCCTGTACCTAGAAGTGTAGGTGTTGCTTTATATTTTGAACACTCGTATATAATTTACATATTTGCTGTTTGTCACTAATGTATTAGAAAATTTACCACTGACCTAACGAAATTATTTTTTTTTTCAACAAGATGGTTGTCCAGATTTAACAATCACGGATTTTTGCTTGTGGGGCAGATTCAAACAAATGAAGTCTGCTGACCTTTAAACCAGTTTCGTGTACGAATTGTTTTATTTAAAAACTGAAGTAACTTTTTCGTATATATTTTGCTAAATATCATCTTTTCGTAAGATTAAAAATAAAAGTAGTCTGGTCTTACGACATTTTCATATTTTTTAATTTTCTGGTAACCTTAACAACCTCTTTTTAAAAAAAAGCAAGCCAAGTACCTACTTTTTTCTGCGTAAAATAAAAAAGTTTTTCCTTTTATACATTCTCTTAAAAGAATAAGAAAGTGTTTTATAAGAAATTCGCTTAATTTATTCCAGGGAGTAATTCCGAAATTACTCCAAAACGGAACCAGCAACAACCTAGCAAATGGAGATATATTTTCCAGTTGTGACAGCGCAGTCCCGGAATTGTTTGTTCCAGAGTACAGAGTAAAAGAAACCATAAATGAAGCCGACGGCTTTCCTAGGATAAACATCGGCATCATTGACTTACAGTGGGTGCAAGTACTCAGCGAGGGATGGGCCTATCCTCTGAGGGGTTTTATGAGGGAAAATGAGTTCCTGCAGGTAAACAATTTCATTTGTAACACTGGAAATATATTTTGGCACCTCCTGTTAAATTTTAAAGTCGCACGATATAGTTTATTAATAGATGTAGTAGTGTAGAAATTTAACCCTGAGGCACATAATTTCAGAACAGAAATTTTATGATATATTACTATTTAGGTACTACATTTTAACACTATAGAAAAGGACGGAACTAGGATAAATCAAAGTATTCCAATCGTACTGCCGATCGCCACAGAAGACAAAGACAGAATAGAAGGCAAAAAGGCGGTTTCTTTGTATTATGAAAACGAGTTGTACGCTATTCTTAGGGATCCAGAAGTTTACTATCACAGGAAAGAGGAAAGGGTATCCAGGCAGTTTGGCACCTCCCTTAAGGACCATCCGCATATCAAGGTAAGTTGAGAGGTTGTAAAGACGAGATTTAAAATACTGCTTTTATTGCTTTTTATATTAAGTAATGCAGATAAAAGTTATGAAATTATGATATATATGTATAATCTCTAATAAAAAAACGACTTTTATCTTTACACTCGTGCAATTTAAATATTGAACAATAAACACAGATACTGGATATAGCTAAATGATTATTTACAAAAAAATGCAACTAATAATATTATATCTGCAAAATTCGTTAATATTATATCCCCCAATAAAACTATAAATACCTCACTGGATAAAAAATATATTGTTGGTTCTGAACTAGTCACCGCTATGACAAAGGTACTTTAAATTTGTTATAAACTCAAGAACATACAAACTCAACTTGAAAATTTCCTTTAAAAATCTCTCTATTAAGGAATATCTATAACTACAGATTTCACTTACCCTGTATATCTAATGATTATATCTTAAGACATACATTACTTCAGCGCAGGAGCATAACTGGAAAAAAGGCGACATATGCGTCCACAGAAAGACAAAATAGTATATTTCATTAGGAGTCTGGAAATAAGGATTTTTTCCATGCGCGTGTGACAAATTCTCGTATGAGGCGAATCCGAACACGGGAAGTTATGGAAGTAACGAAAAATCAATTTCTGAACGTGTAATGAACGAAATTTTTATTATATTTCTTTGAAAACGAAAACATAAAAACAAAATATAACATAAAAGAAAAAATACGTCAGTGGTTTTTACAACAATGCGAACAGTTTGATTTTTAGTTATTAATATTACATATCTACCGATGAAGCGAAATTTACCAGGGAAACCATTTCGAATTGTCATCATAATAACCACCAATGGGTGGATGAAAATCCGTATATTATTTCCTAACGTCGATTCTAAGAACAGTTTTCTCTGAATGTTTGGGCAGGCATTGTGGGCGATTACTTGATTGGTCCCTACTTTTTAGCCAGAGCTCTTGATGGTAGAACTTATCAAAGGTTTCGAAGTACAAGAAGAATTACCACCACTTCTAGAAGAAATGCCATTGAGGTTATGTCAATTATTGTGGTATACGCATGATGGGGCGCCACCTCATTACAGCCTTACCGTTAGACAGTTGCAGAATAATCAGTATCGTAATCACTGGATTGGTAGAGGACGACCGACCCATTGCTTGGCCGGCTCGTTCCCCCGACCTGAATCCCATGGATTACTTTTATATCGTACTCCAGTGTAGAAGTACTTCGACAGCGCATTGTAGAGGGTTTGGCAACCATACACAATACGGCTGGAATTATGAGGCGTGTAAGACGATCAATGCGGAGACGCTGCGCAGCATGCATTGCATCCCAAGGACAGCATTTTGAACATTTCTTGTGATGTTATATAGTGTTTTGAAATCTCTCGAAAATATTAGGTATTGAATTTATTGTTATACACATTTAGCAATCAATAGAAAATGGTAAATAGCAACGTAGGTACTTAAGTATCTTCTTGATTTCCCAATTATCTAAAGACCAGTAAATTTTACGAATACTTTACAAGAATACTTTATTGCCACAAATTGCCAACCAGTGGCGTACGATTTTTTTTTTCAAAAAAGGTCTCCTACTCCCCCAATAACTACGCCATTGGAGTATACTTTGGAATAAGTTATCCATGAAAAAATAGTCGCTACTAAAAAAATTTCATCCCCCAAATTTTATCGCTCAATTTTTTATGCCAGTGAAGTTGCAGGATAATTAATATAAATATTTGAAACTTTTCCTATCAAAAATTTTTATAGACCAAACTTTGAAACTTATCATTAACACCGTGTAAGTATAGTAAGAATATTGAAAATTAACTAATTAACTATTAATAATAACAGCTCCAATGTTTTTAGTTTGAATTGTTATTATTAATGATTATGTTTATGTGCAATTCGTACTATTACACAGTTTTAGTCCTTTTGGAGTTTCATTTTGTGAAGCTGCAGTTATTGAAGCAGACTCTGCGCAAATGTTTTGATTTTCTCGAATGAGTTATACAGTTGTTCGACACGCAGCAAAGATCCCAAACACTAAAATTGCTTTTGGTAGTAGATATTGTTCATCTGAAGCTTCACATACAAATTTGGTTACTTGTTCTGCTGTTAAAACTTTGGACTTTTTCGGTATACACTCTACAGCTTGACGCTTCAAGAAAGCGATAGTTTTTGGATATTTGTTGATGTTATCATTTTCTTTTATGATCAAACAACTCTTTAGCATTGAGAATCGACTTCATAACGTGGATAACGTGGAAGATTTCATAGGCTTAGTGTTTTCGACAAAGTAAACTAGAAGAATATCGTCAATTACAGCTTTTGTTCAGATTTCACCATTCAGTAAAAAGTTTATATTCCTGTTCTGGATATTACTGGTAATAAATTTGCGTTCACTTGTGTCGCTTGCTCTAGGATGTTGTCGGGAATTTCGAGATTTTCTTCTGAGTATATTTTATCGGCATTTTAATTGACAGAAAATAAACAACGCTGACAATACAGTGTTTGGCAATTAAAATACAAAATAGGTAGATGTTAAATATCAGATAGCATATAGACATTCTATTTTAAAGCCATAGGTATATTTGGTATTTTTAATCAGCGCACGCGCACGGAAAGAATCGGAGATCGGAAAAACTTTTTCCGTATGCTGTTTCCGTGGGTTAGCCCGAAAAAGCCCAACTTACTTTATACATACAGATGAAAATAAGGTGTTTTCAAAGAAGTATAATAAAAAAGTACCCTCTAGAAGTTGTAATATACTTTTAACCTTTAACGTAATCGCAACTGTCACAGCGACAAAAAACTGTTTGGCCACAGATGAAATAAATTTTCAAAAATATTGAAGCAAAATAACCAATTAAATTAATAATAGAGCTATTTTTTATTTCAATAACAAAAATGTCTTTTGCACTTGGGAAATAAAACTAAACAACATTTCATACCAGTTTCCGAAAAATTATTTTTTAAAAATATTATTCTCTTTTTTCAATTAGCTAATTTACGAGTCTGGAGACTGGCTTCTCGGCGGCGATCTGGACGTCGTCAGACGGATAAAATGGCACGATGGTCTCGACGACTACCGGCTCACCCCCAACCAGCTACGTCAGCGGTTCCGCCAGATGGGCGCCGACGCCGTCTTCGCCTTCCAACTACGCAACCCCATCCACAACGGCCACGCCCTCCTCATGACCGACACCAACCGCATGCTAAATGAAAGAGGGTACAAGAAGCCCGTGCTCCTGCTCAATCCTCTAGGCGGTTGGACGAAAGACGACGACGTACCGTTGAAGGTGAGGATGAAGCAGCACCAGGCAGTGCTGGAGGACAACGTGCTCGACAAGGAAGCCACAGTGCTGGCCATCTTCCCCAGTCCGATGATGTACGCTGGCCCAACAGAGGTAAGACTAGTGTGATTTCCCATTATTGACAAGATACGCTTATGGAAACTGTTAAATTACACCTCAACAGGTACAATGGCATGCGAAGGCGAGGATGGTCGCTGGCGCCAACCACTACATCGTGGGCAGAGACCCTGCGGGAGTACCGCATCCCAGAGGCAAGGAAGCCACTCCGGACGGCAACCTATACGACTCCACACATGGCGCTCGCGTTCTTAGGATGGCTCCAGGTTTGTCAGCTTTGGAAATCATACCGTTCAGGGTTGCTGCTTATGATATCAAGAATAAGAAGATGACCTTCTTCCAGCCGGAAAGGAAGGAGGAGTTCGACTTCATCTCAGGGACTAGAATGAGAAGTGAGTGTTGATGTGTGTTATATCGTTTTATTACCAATATTTTGTTTGTTTTCCAGAACTAGCAAGGACTGGAGAAGATCCTCCTGATGGCTTCATGGCGCCGAAGGCGTGGCAGGTTATTTCAGATTATTACCGGTCTTTGGAGGCTAAGTCCTGATTGTACTTTTTTTGTATTTATTTAAAAACTATGTATTTTTTGCACTAGCGAATAAACTTTATGGGCATGCATATTGTAGATGGATATATATTTGTTAATATTACAGTATTATAATTATCAGTTATGTAATAAAAATAAAAACAAAGAGGTGTTTAATTAAAATAATATTTTAATTTTTTATGAAAATATACTTTTGTTTTATTATACTTTAAATCCTTTTATCTCATCAAAATTCTACCAATTCTATATATGAAAATTTGTGTTTCGAAATAGGTAAATAAGTAGGTAATTATTTATTCAAGATTTGGAGATTTTAATTGTACTCTATTTTTAAAGTTTGTAAACCTATTTTAACTTTATAGTCCAAAGTACACTTAGAGAAAAAATAATTGTTACTTGGATTTTTATAATTAGAAATGGCGAAGGGGCTTATAATAAACGTAAAAAAAATCAATGCGTGAGCGGGGTTGGTGGGGGTTGAAAAGGGGTAAAAAATGGTACAAAATATTCCGATTTCCGGCGAAAGTTGACGTCAAAAGAAAAAGTATTTAATACAAATGTTGTAGTTCATACAAAAATCTACAACGTTTGCAGAGGTCACTTTTTAACATAACCTCAAAATTTCTGTCGGTGCTCATTTTTTTATTATTGATTCATTTACAGGAGCAAGATAAGACTTCGGACCAAACACGTCAAAATATTAATTTTTCCCAAAGTTATGTTATGTCAAAGAATCAATCAGCTGATCCATGATTTGAGAAAAATTAAATATTTTGACGTGAAATTTGGACTGAAGTCTTATCTTGCTCCTGTAAATCAATCAATAATAAAAGAATTTCCTTTTTTATTTATTTTTTTAACAACTTTTATGATTTTCGAAATGTTTTGCATTTTTTTCTAATAAACAAAAGAAATTTCTCAACGGTTCTTCAGTTTAACTAACTTGTTGATTCTATTACAAATTAGCAGTATGGATGATCCTGTTTGGTACACAAAATTATTCGATTTAGATGTTTATAGCAATGTTTAAACTATACAAAAATAAAGTCTCGGGTTAAACAATGAAACACATTTTCTTTCCATAGAGTTGTTGGTGTATTGTTTTTGAATTTGGAAAAAAAATTATTAACAATTACTGAAAAATTCACTGTTGCAAGAGTAATTCTGTTTTTTTGCATTTTTGAACATATTTTTAAATTGCAATTATTATTTTTTTTATTGTACCAAAAAATTATAGGTGAAACAGAAAAAATGAGAACCAGCAAAACTCTGTAGGATGATTTTTCTAAGAGAAATTTTTTTGAAAAAAAAGTGTGACGGACCGGAACCTTCTAGATTTTTTTTATCTAAAAAAAATTGTGGTTATTTAAGACATAGAAAAGTATACTTTCACCAAGATTCGTCAAAATTAAATTATTTTTGGAGAAAAGAAAAATAAAAAGGTTATGTTAAAAAGTGACCTCTACAAGAGTTGTAGATTTTTACATGATCTATAATTTTTGCATTAGATACTTTTTCGATGTCAACTTACACCGGAAATCGCAACACCATTTTTCACCCCTTTTCAACCCCCCTGCACCATCCCAGCTCACGCATTAATTTTTTTACGTTTATTATAATCCCCTTCACCATTTCCAATTATAAAAGTCCAGATAACAATTTTTTCTTTATTTCGCTCTAAATGAGTTATTTCGATCGGTCTATTAATTTGTTTCTAAAAATCCTGTCAAATGAAGTCAAACAATGTTCTTTGATATCAAAAGTGTATGTATGCAAAAGATGTTATAAATAAGATTCTTAACTGATAATATTGCGGGAAAAACTACTCTATTTCGATAAAATCGAAAAATTCGATTAAGATATAAATTTATATGAAAGCATCAATCATTGTTTTAAATAAAAAGGTTTCAAGTTAAAGGAAACGAGTTATAACAATTGATAAATTGGAAGAAAACGAATGACGAAACATGTAAAAAAATAATTTAGGATACCTAAAAAAAATTAGCAAATAATAATAGGAGAAATTGGACAGATAATGTAAAAAGAATAATGAAAAATTCTTTCATTTGGTTTGCACTTGTAGTTAATGTAGTTATCATTGTGGATGTCCATTTTATAATATGTGGATGAATGTGTCATAAGATATCCATCGAAATCCATCTACAGTACAAACGGATAAACTATGGATGTACAACATTGATTTTATAACGTACGCTATCCTAAAATTGAGGGCAACATCAACAACAATTAAACTGACTCTCATGTCCTGTACAATGATGAACATCCAGAACAACCAATCATAGGATGTCCATAGAATGAAATGCGTGCTATTTCGGTGAAAGCATTTGTGTTACGCCACTGGCAGACTATGTTTTCAATTTAAAAAGCAAGTAACGTAACAGTAATTTCCAGTGAATCGATAATTTAAAATCTACGTTTTTGAATAACTGTTTCCAATATATGGACGGAAATAACAGCTGACTGTGCGTACTCTGAAGGTTATTTTAGATCTAATAAAAATAGGATGCTTCGCGGTGCAGTCAAAGTAGCCAATTATCTAGCGGTGGTGTATGTATCATTTTAATGCAACACTTGATATGTTTTGCAAAAGAAAATAAGTATTTGAATTAATTAGTTATAGTTAGGTGTTTTAAATAAATAAAAGTGAACTCCTAAATGCTATTGTGCTTTTATAATAGAAGATTAAAGGTCCTCAAAAATAAACGAGAAAGGGGTATTGTAATGAAGTACGCGCCATAAAACTAATTTTTAATATATATTCATAATTTTTTTTTCGATTCTGGTACAAATTTTCCTTCAAATTCCCTTCATCGCACTCGATTTATCGCGATTAGTGTCACCAAAAAGTAATTATTTACTTGCACAGTGACCACAGTGTTTATAATTAGAAATTCTATTTACTTTTTTTTTTATTGATTTTATTTCCTGCCAAACTACCTACAGAATTATTATACAGTACGTGAACATAGAAATATTAGGCCAGATATTTTGAATGTTGTTGAAATTTTAGACACTTTCATATTGTGAGAGCTTTTCCCTAGAAATTTTCATAAAAATTTTGTGTTATTTAAGCATATTGCTTTGAGAACAACATATTTATACGTATACAGGGGCGCTGATATGTATGAAAAATTTTTGTTTAATAAATACTTTTGAAAATTACATTTTAAAACATTTTAATAACACACAACCAAGAAAAGAGACAAAAATCAAATACAGGCACAGGAACCCCACCCCACTTATAATCTTATAAACTTTTACATGCGTTTTGAACATTTTTGCTCCAATATACTTTTATACCGCGCATTCAGCGACGAAATTACATTGAACTTCATATCATAATATGATCATTAAAACTTCAATACACTATCTTACCTTAGCAGATAACCGTTCATATCTCTGTTATCTCTTATTTGGATTTTTGTCAGTTTTAGATGTAATTCTTTTATAAAATTTTTGCTTGGCCACCCAGAAGTCCGGACTTCAATCCTCTTGATGTATCTATTTGGTCTCGAATGAAAGATAGTTTACAAAAATTCTGTTGATTCGCGTGAAGAGTTGTGGTAAAGAATACAAATCGCTGCGAACGAAGTCAGACGCAATCCCAATATGTTGTTTCAAACTCGAAGATCTCTCATTGCCAGAAAACGTTGTGTACACTTGTATCAGCGTTAACGGTGGATTCTCTGAACAATTACTTTAAATCATTATTACGTATTTCATTTACTTTATTGTTGATTGTTGTAATAACATAAAGAAACAGTTTGTTTTGCTTTTAATTTCTCGTATTATCAAAACATAGTGTTCGTTAAATCGATTTTTCTCGAAAACGGATCGAGATACCGAAATGAAACAAGAGCACATAATTAATGGAAAAATGATTGCTCTTTCAGGTTTTCTATCAAGTTTCATGTTAGACATACAGGGTAAAAAGTTATTAACTAAATTTTCGGTAAAATTGGACGTAAGTGGCGCCCTCTATGAGCAACACTGAAATTACAACACGCATCTTATTCGTCGCTTAAAAAAATATAGTTTCACAAATTTTCAAGTTTAACCTACATATTTTCAGATTAATCGCAAAACAACGATTTTCAACACCCCATATTTCCGAAACTATCAACTTTCGGATAAGGCATGTTTGCGCCAATGATCACCATTTCACGTGTAGTATCTTCAGCTTTCCATTTTCCCATTGTTAATGAATCACCCTGTATATCATCGACCCTTTATATCATGCAGCCTTTTAGTTAAGTGATAAATTTTTTTTAGTACCTATATAATCAATTACTGAAAAATAGAAGCAATTATTTTATTTTTATGTGTAAATTATTCTTAAATTTAAATAGGTAACGTAGTATTTTGTTGTTATTTATGTACCTATATTATTCGTTTATTTAATTTTTTCCAGGTAGTGTTAACCATTACTAGACACAATGGCTGACGAGGAACAAGAAATGCACTCCAACATTTCTAACCTGAACTTTTTACTCAACGAAAAAGCATTGCAAAGTTTCGAAAAAGAAAATAATGTAGTCTTTTCACCACTACCGCTACATACGTTCTTGTTACTACTATCTCAGGATCAAACATACTGTTATAACAGAAATTTTATATCAACATTACGTTTGTACAAAAATCACGACCTGTGTATTAAATATTATAAGGACTTTATATCATCCTTTCACACACTGGATAATGGAATTTTTTCTCTAACAAGAAAATTGTTAATTAAGGATAATTATCTGTTGCACGATGATTTCAAGAACATAATAAATAATTTTAATTACGAAATAGAGGCTGTTGATTTTAATGAGAAAGATACTGCCGCTAAACTCATCGACTCCTGGTTTGGAAACAAAACACATAGCCTGATAAAGGGTCTGTCCGACAAAAGTTTAAACGACAATACACACCTAGCCCTTTTAGATGCCGTGCATTTTAAAGGGAAATGGGATAGAATGTTTAACTTAGAACCTAGCCCTAGAATGTTCCATTTAAGTGAAATGGATAGCATCGAAACTCAAATGTTGAAAACAACAGGCGAGTTTTACTACAAATCTGACGAAGATATGGCAGTCACAGCTTTAGAATTACCTTTGACTTCTGAAGAGTTCAGTGTAATCGTTATTTTACCTGATAAATCTAAGACGCAAGACGCCATTAATCTGTCGTGGTATTTTCCAGGACTTCTCGAAAATATGACGAAGGAAAATATTGAGGTCTTACTGCCAAAGTTTAAAATAGAACAACTTTTAAACTGCAGAAATATTTTTACTAATGTAAGTATTTTTTTCTTCCTTCATTCCCCTAAACCCTTCAAGCTTGTTTGAAATCTGGTTTGACAAAATTAAACAATAAATAAGGAGTATTTGAAACCAACAAATACTGTCATAAATGTTGACATTTACTGGGTTCCCAGTATTGCAATGAATTTTTTCTCCAACCATCACAAAACCATGACATGTCTTGACTGTCGGAAGTCTCTAAGGCTGACATTTTCCTTACTGANATAATAAATAAGGAGTATTTGAAACCAACAAATACTGTCATAAATGTTGACATTTACTGGGATTCCCAGTATTGCAATGAATTTTTTCTCCAACCGTCACAAAACTATAATATTTTTTGACTGTCGGAAGTCTCTAAGGCTGACATTTTCCTTACTGAGAAAAAAATGGTATCTTAGCATCAAAAGTATTCACTTTTAATCCTAGGAAAATTTTATGCAAATATCGTTAATAAACAATTAAAAAAAGCAAAAAATTCAATTTATTGATTTTTTTTTTACTTTTTTGCCTCTAATTTTTTTTTTGAGTAAAGATAGGTACAGGCAGTGCTTCATAGAAAAAAGTAGATAAATTTTCCTTCAAAATAAGAGGTTGTAAAGTATTTTGGGATGAAAATTGACTGATATATGGCCACTCAAACTTAACCAATTTTTCGATTTTCGTCGCGTTTACGTCGCGTTTCGTCGCGATACGTTTGTTTTAATTCTCATTTTTTGCAAAAAAAGGAAGGAAATAAGACGTTTCAGGCTTTTCATTATATGAGTTGCTCGAAGGGTCATTAAAAATGAAAAAACCGAGGGGTACTATTAAATTAGAGGGTTGAAATTGAAGATAAGGGTGAAAATGAACTATTGCAGTTTTTTAAATATAGCACGAAAACGAAGCAAAATTTCGGTACAGTCCATAGGAAAAATTTTGTAGAGAATTGAATTTCCCATCGAAGTGACTTCTTTAAAAAAACTAAAAGAAAAATTTTATGCAAAAAATCGTTAATAAACAATTTTACAAAAAGCAAAAAATAAGATTTGTGAAGAAGTTGTGTGAAGAGTTATTTATTATTAACAAATAAAACTTTTGAAATAATTTTTTATTAAGTAAAGAACCAATTTGTTGTAAAAATAATAAGAAATGTAATCATTATTATGTTAAAAACGACATAAATCTAAAAAATATTTAAGTTTGACCGGTTATAACTCGGTCAATATTAGTCCAAAAACTTTTGAAAACGCATATTTTGAAGGGAATCTCTATTAGTCATCTAGTTTTTTTGTAGAGCAATTTTCTATGCCTACTTCTACGAAAAAAAATTAAAGTCGTAAAAGTAAAAATAAAATAAAAAAATCTTATTCTTTCTTTTTTAAAATAGTTTATTAACGATTTTTTGAATAAAATGTTTCTTTTAAATTTTTTAAATAAGCCATTTCGATAGGAAATTCAGTTCCCTACAAACTTTTTCCTATGAACTATACCGAAATTTTGCTTCGTTTTCGTTTTAAAAAATTGCAAAAGTACATTTTCACCCCTATCTTTTCATTTTTAATGACTCTTCGAACAACTCATGTGATGAAAATCCTTGAACGTCTTTTTTTCTTCCTTTTTTTTTAAATAAGAATTAAAACGTATGAGTAAATGCGATGAAAATCGAAAAATTGGCTAACTGTAAGTTTGAGCGGCCATATATCAGTCAATTTTCATTCAAAAATGCTATACAACCTCTTATTTTGAAGGAAATTTCATGTACCTTTTTTTCTATGAAACAATGCCTATACCTATCTTTACTCAAAAAAAACTAGAGGCAAGAAAGTAAAAAATTAAAAAAATTGAATTTTTTGCTTTTTTTCAAATTCTATGACTACATCGATATATTCTACTTACTACTTTGCTTTGTTATCCAAATTTGGTTTGAATAATTTCACATTACAAATTTATAATTTCAGTTGGAGAAAAAATAGCGTTTTATTCGGATCTTTTTTGTCTCGCAATTTTGCTCGCCACAAAATAACTTTTAATCATAATATAACGATATATGTAGTATATTTGTAAATTTTAACAATTTGATTTTCGAAGCAGTTTTGAAAAAGTATTGATTGTTGCACAGTTGAGAAGTACCTTCTGCATTTTCCAATGTTCCTTATTAATTTTTTAACTTTGCAACCTAGAATAAAAATAACCACTAATGCTTACAAAATAAAATAAAATAATACATAATATGAGTTCCTAATTTTATTATTTTAGATGTACCTGAAAGAAGAATTTGAAGACAATGTTTTTTTCTTTGACATGCTACAAAGTGAGTTTTTAAAATTTGCCCAAATAGATGAAAAGGGATTTATCAGCGTAGATGAAAAGGGAGTAGAAGCAGCAAGTGGTAAGATAGAAGAATTTTAAATAAGAAAACATAATTTAACAATTTTTGTTCATTAATCTGCTCGTTTGTAATGATCCTATCATTTTTGAAGATGTTGAAACTTGTTTGCTTTTCAGGACTTGCTGTCACGATGGTACCAGCAGAATTCAACAAAGAGGTAAGAGAAAAGATTCATTAATCAAATAAAATTTAACGTTTTGTACAAAACTGATTGATTCAATCATACGAAGCTGTGAAAATTTGTATATTATTGGACATCTTTTTTCAGATCATTTCTCCAGATGGACTAAAGATGTCGGAAATGTCCATAAAAACCGTAATTTCCAACCGATTTGCGAAAACTTTAGTAACGTGCAAGGTCCAAAACAACGACAAGTCAGCGAAAGAAGCCACTTTTACTGTTGTGTTACCTGAAACGGCATTTATTACAGAGTTTGTTATGGAAATGGACGGTAAAAGTTACAAATCTTATATAAAAGGAGTGGAAGAAGCTAGATCTGTTTACGATGAGGTCTAAAGGTTTAGTGTGGATATTGCGCTGTATTAAACTACTATTTTCCAGGCCTTAGCTCGTGGTAAGAGCGCAGGGATCGTCGAAGCTGACGCGAGAGACTCGACACAATTCAACGTGTCTGTAAACATGGAACCTCAATCTATAGCTGTCTTCTTGCTGACATACGAAGAAATGCTCCAGCGTATCCACGATCAATACGAGCTGGTGTTAAATATTTGTCCAGGGAGAATTGTAGACAATCTAAGCGTGGAGGTGATTAATTTATTGAAAAATTTTAAACCACATACAAGGTGCTTCCTAAGTACAGTCCATGATATCAGGACACAATTTCTTATGACATTTGAAGGGGGAAAATTTAAAAAAATGTATTAATATTTGAAATAAATTTGGAACTGTCAATGTTAGGATCTTAAAATTTGGCAGTTATTATATAGGCCAAGCAAATGAAATTTTTAGTCGGAAAAATTGTCTAAAGGAACATAATACAAGACATCTCTCATCTAGTGAGTCAAAAAATTGTATTAGCTAACTTTTCTATTTAAACAAATAAGTGAGGAAAACAGTTTTTTCACTTTGCAGGGAAAACCATCAATTTTAGCGAAAAGTGACTCGCAGACAGCTTATAGGGAGTAAAATTATCTACAAAGTGAGACTTGTTAAATTAAAATCGGTTAATAAACAAAAAAGTTATTGCAAAAAAACAAGAAAAGTGCCCATTTTTTAATTTGTTTATAACTATCGCATTTATTGTTAAAATTTTATAAAACCTATGACAAGTTGAGGGTTTTGTCATACTTTAAAAGTGTGCCAAAAGTGGGCGCTGTAGGTGCAATAGTTTTCGCACAATTCTATTTGTTTATAGCGGAGGCTCCAAAAGTTATGAACTTTAAGCCTCTGTACAGGCGTTAATTTTCAATCAAACATGATTCTGAAAGCGTCATTGTAATCTTAAAGACGCAATTAAGCGACCTATTAAAAAATATCACCGTTTTTTTGACATTAACATTCTCAAATTGTGCATTAAAAAACCGTGCGTTTTTCGCTTATAAACAATTTGAATAACATTGTTGCTATTTATGCTATCTCACCGAAAATAGATGCAATGGATAGCTGGCAAAAAAATACAGTTTTAAAATAAAAAAAGTACCCTCTACGACCAACAGGAGCCAAGATAAGAATTTTTTTTTTAAATCGTAGCGCAATTGTTTATAAATATTAAGACTTGAATTTTTCGCAAAATAAAGTTTACGACGTAAACTACGATTTCCCGTGAATTGCATTGAAAAATGTGGAAAATTAACGACTCACGAGCCCTTTAAAGAGAAGGTACTCGCTAAGTAAACTGTCCGGCGGCCGGCGGCGTGGTGGTGGGGGAAGCTCGTCCAAGCGGTCGCGCGGGCGAGAAAAGTTAAATCCAAAGTTCAAATAAGTGCGCGCTGTAAATTTTGCAATATCTCGGCTTCTATTCATCGTAGAAACTTATTTTTTTTTAAACTGGGGTAGCTCGACGAAAAAATAACAATGGGCATATTTACGAATTCGTAGAATAGCCCTGAACCCCAGAAAAAATGCATCTTTTATAATTAATTTTTTTTAATTTACAAAAATGTCACAAAAATTATTGTTAAACGAAATATTAATTAAAATTTCAATTTCGGAATTATTTTACTATTATTAAATAAATAAATGAAGCTATCGTTCATTTAAAAAGTTATTTTTTTTACATATTAAGGCAAAGTAAACTTGTTTTTTCAATATTTTGTTAGCTATTTAATTACGATTTAAATGTAAAATTAAAGTAAAAATTCATAAATTATTTTCAAATTATTATTTCTCATAAAAATAGAAAAAATTTTAAATTTTAAATTGTATTATATTGCATTATTTATATCTATTATTGAAAATGGTTGTGATTAATATTTTTTGAATTAATGTTGATTATGTTTATAAAATTAGTAATAAATATAATAAAAAAACTTTATATATTAAAATTTCAGGAAGTTAAAATTGTAATTTTATCGACCGCGTTATTTTTAATATTTTTTAATTTTGAGAATTTTGCAATAAATTCAAATGCTTTTTATTCTTTTTTAAATCTTTTAACAATAAATAATAATTTGAAAATAATTTGTGAATTTTTACTTTAATTTTACATTTAAATCGTAATTAAATAGCTAACAAAATATTGAAAAAACAAGTTTACTTTGCCTTAATATGTAAAAGAAATAACTTTTTAAATGAACGATAGCTTCATTTATTTATTTAATAATAGTAAAATAATTCCGAAATTGAAATTTTAATTAATATTTCGTTTAACAATAATTTTTGTGACATTTTTGTAAATTAAAAAAAATTAATTATAAAAGATGCATTTTTTCTGGGGTTCAGGGCTATTCTACGAATTCGTAAATATGCCCATTGTTATTTTTTCGTCGAGCTACCCCAGTTTAAAAAAAAAATAAGTTTCTACGATGAATAGAAGCCGAGATATTGCAAAATTTACAGCGCGCACTTCCCCCACCACCACGCCGCCGGCCGCCGGACAGTTTACTTAGCGAGTACCTTCTCTTTAAAGGGCTCGTGAGTCGTTAATTTTCCACATTTTTCAATGCAATTCACGGGAAATCGTAGTTTACGTCGTAAACTTTATTTTGCGAAAAATTCAAGTCTTAATATTTATAAACAATTGCCCTACGATTTAAAAAAAAATCTTATCTTGGCTCCTGTTGGTCGTAGAGGGTACTTTTTTTATTTTAAAACTGTATTTTTTTGCCAGCTATCCATTGCATCTATTTTCGGTGAGATAGCATAAATAGCAACAATGTTATTCAAATTGTTTATAAGCGAAAAACGCACGGTTTTTTAATGCACAATTTGAGAATGTTAATGTCAAAAAAACGGTGATATTTTTTAATAGGTCGCTTAATTGCGTCTTTAAGATTACAATGACGCTTTCAGAATCATGTTTGATTGAAAATTAACGTCTGTACAGAGGCTTAAAGTTCATAACTTTTGGAGCCTCCGCTATAAACAAATAGAATTGTGCGAAAACTATTGCACCTACAGCGCCCACTTTTGGCACACTTTTATAGTATGACAAAACCCTCAACTTAGGTTTTATAAAATTTTAACAATAAATGCGATAGTTATAAACAAATAAAGAAATGGGCATATTTCTTGTTTTTTTTTTGCAATATCTTTTTTGTTTATTAACCGATTTTAATTTAACAAGTCTTATTTTGTAGAAAATTTTTTTCCCTACAAGCCGTCTGTAAGTCACTTTTCGCTAAAATTGATGGTTTTACCTGCAAAGTAAAAAAACTGTTTTCCTCACTTATTTGTTTAAATAGAAAAGTTAATTAATAAATTTTTTTGTCTCACGAGATGAGAGGTGTCTTGTATTATGTTCCTTTAGACAATTTTACAATAATATCGCGGATAGGAATTTTTTCGAGTTTCTCTTCAATTTTCGCTAATTTTCCTGATGTAATACGTTGGATCTGCCTTTTTAGTGTAAAGTCAATTTTTATTTGCTGCCAGTGGCGTAGTTAGACGTGAGTCAATCGATGGCGACGTCTTTATCATAAAATGTAGACGCCAATGCATTTTTTAAAATTCTCGTTTATTTTAGAACCAGCCTAACAATTTACAACAAAAAGGTGTCTTGATTTTTTTGCCTAATACTAACCTATTAGAAAAATGGCCGGCAACTACAAACAACAATCAAATAAATAATCAGTATCGACACAAAATCAGGTCACAATGTATATTTTAAATTTATTCTTTACATATTTTACATTCAAGGTTAATATCAACGAAAGTAGAGCGCTTAAATTTGTGAGAACACCTCCGTTAAGATCGGGGAAAGAAATGAAGAAAATAATGGATCCTTTTCTTGTACCTTCTTCTGATATTAAGACAAACGCGAATTCTTCTGTTGTTAAATTCAGTGCAGATGTGCAACAACAACAAAAAATTGCCTGTTATTTAGGAACTCCGTTTTCCGATGGATTTACTGGCCAGTTTGTTGTACAGTATGACGTCGAAAGGGATCCGAAAAATGGAGAGGTATTTGCACATATTCTAAACAAATAAGTCCTTAGAAGAATATTTTTAGATCTTACTTCAAGACGGGTATTTTGTTCATTTCTTTGCCCCAAACGATTTGGATCCCTTGCGTAAGCACGTTGTTTTCCTATTGGATACCAGTTCTAGTATGACAGGAAGGAAACTGGATCAGTTGAAAGACGCTATGATGAGCATTTTAAGCGACATCAGAAAGGGGGATTTGATAAGTATCATCGAATTTAACCAGGATGTTATCGTTTGGGATATCGAGTCCGAAAAGTCCAAAGTAATATTTTGTACAGACTTTAACAATTTTGATGAACCATTTGGAGCGCTCGGTGTAAGTACATGTAATTTTATTGAACTGTTAGGAATGTCGAGGCTGTGAAATAAATTAGAAACAATTTAAAACGTTGCAGGAACTCTCTCTGCCAAGTCCGCTTCTTGCAGACGAAGTAACAATAGGTAAAGCGAAGAATGTTGTGCGGAGAATGCCTGGACAAGGCTCGACGTTTATGATTGGTGGCTTGGAAGTGGCACTGTACATGATAAAGATTGGGCAGGAAAAGATTATCGACAAAAGTTCAAAATACCAACCGATAATGGTGTTTTTAACCGATGGACAGCCCAACATTGGTTGTGGCTCAACAGATCGGATCACCCACATGGTAAGTAATATTTATCCAGTCCAACTAAGATTTAAAATCTTATCGGAACACAACACGAAATGAACAACACATTACAATTTTCGAGTAGAGAATACAAATAACTATTTTATCAAATTAAGATATAATAAAAATGATGGTTTGATTTATTTACGACTCTGCTGCCTATTTTGGCAATACATACAGACTCTTATTTTACAGGTAACGAAATTAAATCTGAGGCACAATAATGTGCCCATTTTTTCACTTTCATTTGGTGAAGGTGCCGATAAGTCATTTCTAAGGGAGTTGTCGCTAAAAAATTTTGGTTTCTCAAGGCATATTTATGAGGCTTCTGATGCTTCCCTGCAGCTCCAGTCATTCTACAAACAGATTTCTTCACCGTTACTAACAGATATCAAGTTTAAGTATGAATCTGACGTAACCGAAGTGACCAGGTCCCACTTCCCGATCTACTTCAGAGGGGGTGAATTGGTTGTTTCGGGAAAATGTAAAGGTGCGTTCAAATGTACACAAAAGTTTTTCTCCAGATGTAAATTTACATTTACAGGATGCCAACTGCGCAACGATATCAATGGTTGCGGACCGAGGGGTTACTTAAATTTGGGATCTATAGTGAGGAACCCGGTTACTTCTTTAGAAAGATTGTGGGCATATTTGACGGTTAAGCAGCTGTTGGAAGAGAGAAATACCGTGGATAATAAAGAAGAGTTGACCAAAAGAGCCGTCGATTTATCGCTCAAATATTCATTTGTTACAGAAGTGACGTCTTTAGTTGTTGTGAAACCTGATGAAACTTGCGACACTAATCCTCCATTAGGTATAATTTCAGTTTGGAATTTTCGTACACCGTAAAATTAATTATGTTTTAGATAATTTAGACGTATCAGAGGACCTTAGCTGTAATTTCAGATCATTACTCGTTAAAAGGAAGACAAGTAAGTCGAAAGAAACGCCTAATACAAAATGACCAAGACAGTATATTTTGACCGAAACATTTATGTATTTCTAGATTTTCCAAGTAGATTTGATTGAAAATTTTTAAGATTGTGAAAATATAAACTATATATTAGTGTCTTTGTTTTAGGGACCACCAAATTTTTTGTTATTATCTTCCAAAGAAAATATTTAACAAAGTATGACTACTTCGAAAATTCTGTGCTTACATAAATTAGAAAAAACTTCTTCTAGTAATTTTTACTTGTCTGAATATCAAATAAGATAACTTATAGGCGAGCGGTTCACCCCTAATAAAAAGACATGAACCGACTAAATTTTTAAAACAAAAACCTACAGCATGAACTTTTTTTATTTTATAAAGTATTTGTCTGATAATTTACATATTTTTTTATATTTTCGGCGTGGTCAGTCAATTGTTATAAACAGAAAAATTGTAAAAAAAAATTACTTGACGAATGGCTTTGAAAACAGGATTGTAAAATTGGCCAAAATAAACACAATTTGTCCTTTGACAAAAATTCGAAAAATGCTTCATTTCCGAGATAGGTATTTACAATTTAATGTGAAAAAAGTGATGAAATCGACAAATTTTCGGAATTTTTTTTCTCAAAAACCACTGACCAGAGTTTAATTCCAAGCACAATAATCGGCAGATCTACTTTAAGATATATTTTTTTGGTATAGTATATAATTATTTTATTGAAGGTCTAAAGCGAGTAAAAAAAACAAATAGTGAAATTGTAACTCTTGATCCATTGACACATGGATGGAAAATCGAAAATGGTTGTTTGGATTTTAATTATTTCGAAGGAAAAACTGCGTTAGATATGCTTCAAAAATATTTTTGTTCATATAGTGGAAAATTGTAACAGTCACCGAACCTGGAATGCTGTGCAGTCTGTGCGTGCTCAGATGAATGTCAGTATGTTCCATCCGAAATTGATGATGAAACGCTTATTTCAACTCAAGAACTTGTCGAAAATAACGAAAAACTTATTATTTAAAAATTAAATAAAAAAGAAATTAATATACTTTTAATCAACAAAAATCGAATATTTAAATTTTACTAATTACTTGCAAAAACCTTACTCCGGCTACAAAACCAAACAAAATGATCTTTTGAACATTTGTACTGTTAACATATATCGATTTAAAAAAATCATAATATTTATTGTAAATATAATCTAATACAACATATTTTAAAAAGAAAATTTTAATTTGAAGTGTTATCATAATTTCCTTTAAAAGACTTTTTTCTCGCTTTAGACCTTCAATAAAATGATTGATCCATACCAAATAAATATATCTTAAAGTAGAAAATCTGCCGATAATTATGCTTTGTTTAGAATTAAAATCTGTTCAGTAGTTTATGAGAAAAAAATTCCGAAAGTGTCGATTTCGTCACTTTTTTCACATTAAATTGTAAATATCTCGGAAACGAAGCATTTTTCGAATTTTTGTCAAAGAACAAAAAGTGTTTATTTTGGTCCATTTTACAATAAAAACTTGCAAACCTTTCAAAGCCATTCGGCAATTTTTTTTACAACTTTTTTGTTTATAACAATTGACTGACCACGCCGAAAAATGTAAACAAACTATGTACTTAAATTATCAGAAAAATACACTTTATAAAATAAAAAGTTTCATGCTGTAGCTTTTTGTTTTAAAAATTTAGTCGGTTACTTTCATTTAGAAGCATCTTTTTAGGGGTGAACCGCTCGCCTATTAGGTATACTTACCGTGACATTTTTTGTTTAGAAGAAAATTATATTATTTTAATCCAGCCACAAATTAAAACTGGATTTTAGAATAATATGTACTTTGAATTTAGATTTCCTTACAGAAATAAATTCTGTTTAAAAGAAATTCTAAATACCTACTTACGTAATGTATTTTTTTATTTATATTAAATTATACATATTCCGAAATTTTCTTCTTTTGCTTCTCACAACTGAAGGAATATAGCTTTACTTGCAATGTTTTCTCTTTTTTATCAGGCAAATGGAAAACTGAACCTGAGGAAGAAATCACGGAATGTTGCGAAGGTAAAGAACCCATTTAAAATAAATATTGCTTTAGTGGAATATTTATTCAATGTAATTTAACGTTTTTCTGTTCTAATTCTTTCACTATTGTCGAACTGAATATACAATTTATTATTGCGTTCTGATTGTACTCCTTTTGTTTAGAAATTGAAGATATCCAGCCTGAGGAACCTAAGAAATTGGAGTTCACAGCTGATCATCCCTTCTTTGTTGCCCTAGCACTGAAAAGGGGAGATAAGAAAATATTGCTTTTCGTGGGATGGATCCAAAAACCATCTTATTAGTGTTTATTACTTTTGAATATCTTGTTTTATATTTGTAATAAAGTAAGTGTCGAAGATTGTTGAATTTCTCATAACCACAGAAGATAGTTGTTTTATCTTCTGTGTCATAACTCTAAAATGCACGTTCTCGCAAAAATTGGTGTTCTAATAAGGTATCGTACTAATATATGTAGGTAAGTAAGGAGAGTACCTACTTAGAGTTTCATTATGTGTAAATTTAAGAGAATTGTACCGAATTTCCTTTATTTAAACACAAGTTTTACACACTTTACAAACAGCTTACGACTTTGACAGTTCACAACAACAAATGTCAAATGTCTTTATGTAAAATAGATATATCTATTGCTCGTACGAACTGCACTGGATCTCTGTGCAATTCCAAACGATATTTTTTTCGTGGATTCTTGCCAGAGCCAGAGAAATTAGCAAAATATTTGTTATTTGACACACGTGCATTCGTAGAAGTGTAGAATTACGTAGTAGGTTGGTTACGGTCAACAAACATTTTATATTTTCAGTAGATCATTTTCAGGTTGTTAATTTGTTTTATTTTGAAATAAAAGAAAAGTGGAATGTTCAGTAAAGGTCACAAATACACAGCAATGCAGTAAATTTTCAGTTATTTTCAAAAAGATATCGAAGGCAGCATCAATTTTGATTCTCACCGTTGAAGGGCAGCACCAATCAAACTGCATTGACGCCACCGTCCTTCAATAAACCACTAAAATTTTGTTTCGGCGCCATACGCTAGATAGAATAGCAAATTTCTAGGTAGTTCGCCCATACAAAATTCCGTAATTAACACAAATTGCATACATTTTTCTTATTTTAATATACATTTAAATTTTTGAATATGTTGACAGTAAACAATATTTAGCTTAAATTTGACATAATACTTACCTAATTAGAAAATTTAATTTCCCCATCGTTCATTAAAATAAGTTTTTATTAACAAAGTTATATAATTTTTTATGTAAAGGCGAGTAAATGAAAGAAATTTTCAGATGATATAAAATACATTTTCATAATGTTATGCTACAAAATAATAGCAGCAAAGCTTACATGAATATATAAATGCCAGCCTCTAAATTTTGTATACGATGAATACATTTTATATGGAGGCAAACGAAATGAAAAAAAATCAAGCAGAAAACAGTATAACAAATTAAATCGCTTAGCCCAGAGACTCCATGCTTTGTTGTATATAATCGAGAATTAAAATTCCAGCATTTTTGAGACAAAAGTATCGCTTTAATATTGCGGCTTACTTATGCGACCCTTGAACAGAGCATTTGTGAAGTTGTCTTGCCTCGCTTGAAGAATTACAACAAAAGGATGATCAGCAGTGAACATCTCAGGATCTATATCACAGCACAACATGAGTTTCACTCCTAAAAACGTAAATCGTGTTTTTAATCTCTTCATTTGTAGGGCACAGATAAGAGCAGAAGCTTGGCTTGCGAAGGGCACACAGTACATCTTACCAAAATATTTTAGCATCCAGAATTAATATTTCTTCTTGGGCTTCATAGATGGATGAAACAATCTCGAGAATTTGCGAATTTGCGAGAGTCAACTGTACTGCTCAAACAATTACAATAAAAAATTGTGAAATTTGGTCCATGAAAAAACAGTTTTTATAAGGACGGCGCTGATAATACAGGGTGTCTCATAATTAGCTGCTAACCCTAAACAGGCCGATTCTATGATCAAAACTAAGTAAAAAAGTTCATATGAACATGGGTCCGGATATGCTTCCTAAGGGCACAGGGACCCATTGAAGAGGGAGGAATGGAAATCATTTTTTTTGCAATATCTCTCAATCGCGTTGTGATAAATGAATGAAATTTGGTATACACAGCTAAATTTTGATGAGCAATTTGATGGACTAATCCATTTATTTCCACAAGGTCCATTGGGGTGGGTACGGGGGGGCCCTTGGTACTTTGCGTGTGTAACTTTTTCATCTTTGACTTTTTAACAAATTGGACAGCAAATTCCGTTTTCCCGAACTGTTTTACGTTAAAAGGGTACTCTTGTTTCAAATCGTTATCTTTAACGGTTTCTGAGAAAATCGCTCTTGAATTAATCCCACTTTGGTCAATTTCATAGTAATTTAAACAAAAAATAATAATAGTAATTTGTTTAAATTACTATGAAATTGACCATAACAATTTGAAACAAGAGTACCTTTTTAACGTAAAACAGTTCGGGAAAACGAAATTTGCTGTCCAATTTGTTAAAAAGTCAAAGATGAAAAAGTTACACACGCAAAGTACCAAGGGCCCCCCCGTACCCACCCCAATGGACCTTGTGGAAATAAATGGATTAGTCCGTCAAATTGCTCATCAAAATTTAGCTGTGTATACCAAATTTCATTCATTTATCACAACGCGATTGAGAGATATTGCAAAAAAATGATTTCCATTCCTCCCTCTTCAATGGGTCCCTGTGCCCTTAGAAAGCATTTCCGGACCCATATTCATATGAACTTTTTACTTAGTTTTGATCATAGAATCGGCCTGTTCAGAGTTGGCAGCTAATTATGAGACACCCTGTATATTGAAGCCCCGCTCTCATTGTCAGTGGTTCAATGGCAATGATAAAAATATGAGATTTGACTGAATTATTTTGAAATAAAAGAAAAATAATGTTCAGTAAAGGTCACAAATACACAGCAATGCAGAACATTTTCAGTTATTTTCAAAAATACAGGGTGTTTGGAAAAGTTGGTACAAAATTTAAAGGGGTGAAAGTAGAGCCAAAAATAGTAAAAAAAGTTCCTATAAACATTGGTCCTCCGGAGCACCGTTATTGAGATATGGCGCTTCAAAGGGGTCTTATCATTTGAATATTTTTTAAAACAACTTTCTTTCTGATTAAGATAACAGAATGAAAATTGTAGGTAATAATTATACCATAAGGGTCTTTAACTACCATAAGTTTCATCAAAATCGGTTATAAATAAGTATAGTTTTGTAACTTCTCTTAACAGAAATCTTTCGAATTTTTTTTATTCCATTGAATTATCAAGCAAATATTATTTTTTAATGAATTAGACTTTTTTGAAGAAAAAATACTTTTTTTTTCGAATTCTGTGTAGTTTAGTCAGAAATAATTATTTTTTAAATGATGTATGGCTCAAAACAGTAACTTTTTTCACATCTCGGTAACGGCACTCTGGAGGACCAATGTTTATAGGAACTTTTTTTGGCTCTACTTTCACCCCCTCAAATTTTGTACCAACTTTTCCAAACACCCTGTATATTGAAGTCTCAACATCAATTTAGATACTCACCGTTGAAGGGCAGCACCAATCAAATGCTGTGCCGCCACTGTCCTTCAATAAACCACTAAAATTTTGTTTCGACGCCACCTACGCCCGAATAATATTCAGTAAGTCCCACACATTGCATAATTTTTTTATATAGCTACATTTAAATTTTTGAATACAAGGTGCGGCATTAGCGCGTCGAAGTACGATATCTCCGTTATTATAGAAGATATCAAAAAAGTTATTTACCAAAATTGTAGACAACTTAAAAATGCACATTTTAAAATTATTTTGGTATATACAGAGTGTCACGTATTACCAGAGTGAACCAAGCATACTATTTTTTATATGGGACACCCTATATATTATTTCAAATTTAGATTAAGCTCATCTCTCTCATGCTTCCAATATAGGGTTTAATTATGTTATACAGGGTATTTCAAATGGTCAATTGTATACGAGAATCATTGCCATTTCAGCATCCTGTATACACTCAACAGAACATCTTAATAATTTTTTGCAAGCATAACTTTTTGATATTGGTGCAGTTTTACGAGACAGTGCTATTATTTCTTTATTATTGCAACACTTGAATATGGGGCGAGCCAAAACTTGAGCAAATAATTTTCTCAATTTTTTTAAATTAATCATCGTGTATTTTATTTTAAAAACTGAAAATAGACTTTGTCCTTTCATTTTTATAAAGCATTCCCTCTAGCTAAAATCATTAATTTCTGAAATATTTACTATTTAATACAAAAATAGAGTGAGTATTTAAAAAATTTGTATTATGACAAGTTGGTTAATATTAACAATTTCGTCTTAACAACGGGTATTTTGTAATGTTTTATAACAATTTGTCACACTATCATTTGCCCACGGCCAACTTGTAATAGGAATTTTTTTAAAACTCTCCTTTTGTTATTAAATATCAGAAATTAATGATATTAACTATAGTATGCTTTATAAAAATGAAAGAACGTAAAGCGTATTTTCAGTTTTTTAAATAAATTACAGGGCGATTCATTTAAAAAAAATTGAGAAAATTATGTGCTCGAGTTTTGGCTCGCCCTGTATTCAACTGTTGCAATAATAAAGAAATAGCATTTTCTCGTAAACTGTACCGATATCAAAAAGTTGTGCCTGCAAAAAATTATTGTTAAGTTGTTCTGTTTAGGATATAGAGGACGCTGAAATGGGAATGATTCTCGTATACAATTGACCATAACTTTTGAAATACCCTGTATAACATAATTAAACCCGATATTGGAAGCATGGGAAAGATGAGCTTAATCTAAACTTGAAATAACATATAGGGTGTCCCATTTAAAAAATAGTATGTTTGGTTCACCCTGGTAATACGTAACACCCTGTATATCCGAAAATAATTTTAAAATGTGGTTTTAAGTTGGCTACAATTTTAAATAACTTTTTTGACATCTTCTATAATAAAGGAGATATCGTACTTCAATCTACTAGATAGATTAGCAAATTTGTAGATACTTACTTCTCCCACAAATTGCATAAATTCTTCTTATTTTAAATGTACGATTAAATTTTGTAATATGTTAATAATAAAGGTGAGTAAATGAAAGAAATTTTCAGAGAATATAAAATACATTTGCATAATGTTACAAAATAATACTTGTTAGCAACAAAGCTTACATGAATACATAAATGCCAACCTTTAAAATTTATATACCTACCATAAATACATACAATTTATATAGACCTAAACCAAAAGAAAAAAATCAATTA